GGGATGAATGTGCCTTGCACAGAAGAAAAAGTGTCGCATATCAGCAAGGCATACCAAGATTCTAAAATTGGTTATATCAGTTTACTCTCCCTACGGATGGAGTCTTCAGTTCTCTAGGTCTTTACTATTGGAACTGTCGCAAAGGCACTTACTCGCCCACCAATAGCCCCTAGAAAGAATTGGCCTTCGGAAATTTTAGAGGTGTGGTTTATCCAGCCACCACCATCATTAGTCCGGTAAACGCCGTCCATTTAAACCTTGGTTGAAGGGTGGATGTACTGACCCCCATCTGAATGCTACACTCAAACTCTCACGAGTGCTTACTAGCCGTAGTCCAGACTGACCAATCAGCCTCAAGGCTGACTTACACAGAACCTAATTGGGACGCCTGCCACGCTCTCACACTTCGAACGCCATCTGTCAGCAGGTGTGAGCGCACGCCTCTCCAGCTCCCAATTTCATCCAACCTATCCTCCAGTAGCTCTGTAGAGAATGTTCTATTCTCTCCATTCTCACACAAACTAAAAAGATATGACTTGAATCCCAACTGATTGAGCGTGTCAGTATATTTCGACATCATTCGGCAATGTAGACACTTTTTTAAATCAAAAGATACAATTTTGAAGAAGCTATGCTTTTCTACTAAGCAAGTACAAGAAAGAATCATTTTGTAAATTCTATAAAATATAGCTTAATTCATAAGGGCAGTGAAAACCAATGAGTAAAATGCATATTGCGTAAGTAGACTTTTTTTTTACAGAATGTACCTTTTGCAAGTGATAAAAAAACGCTCGTGCAAAAGCCCGTGTCTCGACGTTACTGAGACTTCTTGAGCTTAGGCAGTATGATAATTACTATTGAAACCCCACTTATTGCCACGTTGCGAGTGATTATCAATCTATCGTAAATTTTCGCATTTTGTATGAGTTCGGGTCCAAACTGTAGTTCCTTGCTCACCTGAACTATTGCGCAGCACCGTTTGTACTGGGTTTGTGGGTAATGTAAAACTTCTAGGAGAGAAGTCGTATTCTAAGTGTATAAAACAAAATAACCGTATTTGCGTTATGCGCTTGTGCTCATGCTTTAATAATGCACTCTATGAGAAAATAGTTCAGGGTCCCCGTTCGTCAAGATTAAAATCGATATCGCCCACCAAACTAGCACGATTTAATGTAGGTGGCTAGCTATAGAAGTTTTAGTTTTTTACAAGGCAGATGAGCTGAGGCAGCGGTGGACTTTAGCCTATTTCGAATAGTGGGACTTATCAACCTGGCAAAGACGAGGTACTGGGGGCAGGGATCAGCCAGCGCGGTGCCCGCGACCTTCTTGGGCTTGAATTGTAAATGAAAGCTGACTTCTGTCGCCTCAATGACGTAGGACAGCATCACCAGTGGTTGGTAAACAGTGCTGCCGTCCACTGCGATCAGAGGTGGTGG